CTGGGGAAGGGACAGAGCTGTTGGGGAGGTGGTGGCCAGGCAAGACCACTGCAGGGAGCATGAGGGCCCTCGTGCAGCACCTGTCTCTCAGAGCTCCCCCTGGGGTGCAGGGCTGGGGGTGCACACACCAAACACAGCAGCTGTGGAGGCTGCCCAGCCCTAGAGAAGGCTCCCCTGGCATGGAGGGAGGTGCAGGACCCAGCTGCAGGTGGTCCAGCCCACCTGTGAGATGCCAGCCATGTGGGTGCTGTCCCCAGACCCCGGGCTCTCAGGAGCTGCTTCCTGTGCCTTCAAGGCTCACTACCAAGCATGGTCTTGCACATCAGCCTCAGTCCTGCAGCCGCCCCACAGCTCACTGTCAGGGTGAGGACTGGCTCAGAGACACCACAGACCGAGTCCCACAGCCACGTCCACATGCCGTCAGCAGCTGCGGGGGCTCAGAAGCCTGCAGACCACCCGGGAAACCTAAGTCCTGTGCGTCTGCATTCCTAAGAGACTACTTACAGGTGATTTATGGAGAACACACTTCCTCACAAATACGTATTGCCCTCCGGACACTCCCCTCCCGGCAGAGCCAGCTGTGCAAGGCCAGGCCACTTGGATCCATGCACTCATGTACGCTAAACCCCAATTCACTATCAAACTCATTCCCTCGCAGGAGAGTCAGTTTTTAACCTTGGAACAATGACATCAGAAGCACCGCTTGTTGCTTTCCAGGGGACAGGTTCCTCACCACAGGGAGCAGGCACTGAAGGCCCCAGCCCACCCAGGATGGGACATCCGGTCGCCTGGGTCACCTGGGTCACCTGGCAAGTCCAGGGCTCTGCAACCTCTCAAGGAAACTAAGCCATGTTTCTTCTTTGGCCCAAATGCCCCCATCCATCGCTGAACACAGACACTTCAGAAGAAACACAGAATCCGCAGGGGTCTGGAGAGTGACTGCTGCCCATGGGAGGGAGAGGACAATGCCCAATGTACAAGATCAGCTGAAAAGGGAGCGACTCAGAAACTAAAGAGGTAAACACCAATGTGAAGAAGCAAGATGGGGCCACAACAGGAGAAACCGAGAGGAGAAACCAGGTACAAGTCAGGAAACACAGCCAGTGGGGGAAGACAGGAGTTTTTGGTTTGTTTTGTTTTGCTTTTTACAGTTGGTTTTATAGAGACAAAAGATACAACCTGAATAAGAAAACTGCTACAATGAACTCCAGTGTGCTTAGTAACAAGGCCCTGAAAGTTTTACATAAGACAAAGACAAGTAAAAATACTTTCAAATTTGACAGCAAGGCAATTATGGTTTAAGAATTAACCTACAACTCAGTCTTCAAACACCAAAATGGACAGACAGACAACACTGTAGAAAAATGAATAATATGATTAATAAGGCCAATTTAATAAATATGTATAAACACAGCACACGCTATTCCTCTGAAAGTCATGAAAGATTTGCAAATATTAATCATAAGTAAGGCCACAGAATACAAAGCACAATAAATTCAGGTGACAGGAACTACAAGTCTTATTGTCTGAATAACACCAGAAAAAAATAACGAAATAAATAATGTTTTAAAATATCCAATTTTATGCAGTTTAAAAACACATACATACATGAATAATTCTGTTTAAAAAGAAAATCAAAACTTTAGACTGTTTTCCAAAAGTAATAATAAGAGTTCTGAGAATGAAACATAAAAGACATGTCTGTGGTTCAGTTCTGAGGAATACCCAGGTTTGAACACTGCAATTCTCAGGTAAAGAAAACAAGGGAAGCTTTGGGACCAAGTCTCCCAGAGTTACAAGGAGAACAGAGAAGTGGGAGAGAAAGGCACTCACAGATTATTGAAAAACTACAAGTTTTGTGTTGTACTGGGGTTTGAACTCAGGGCCTCACACTTGCTGGGCAGGTGCTCTCCACTTGAGCCGCTCAACCAACCCTGGAAAGCCAGAACTTTTATCCTAGCTCTCTGGGAAATAACTCATCTGAAAAAGCCAGTGGTCAGTCAAACTTCTGACAACCAATGGAAAAAAAAAACAAGACACACAAAGCCACAAACAGACTTACGAAGGATCACGGTGGGTAAAATACCGACTTAAAACAGAATCTTGAGTAAAATGCCTGTCTAGGACATAGAACACCCTGTAAGCTCAGCAGATGAGCTGAGCTTTCACGGAAGTGCATGGCTTCCTGGGGAAGCGGGATTGCTTGAGGGGGCTTAGGGTGGGTGAGTAACAGGATAGAAGAGATTGCCGGAGCTCTCCTTGGAGAGGGCTTCGGGCCCCAGACTCAAAGAGTGCCCAAGCGTATTCAAGCAGTAAATCATGAACTGTGGCCACGCAAAACAGAGGAGCACGCCCATCCATTTGAAGCCAGGAACAGTCCAAAACCTGAGCGAGAGAACGTCAACAAGCCACAGTCCAAGCTCATTTGAGAGTGACTGACTGACACAGCAGCCGTGTGGATCCCGTGGCACACGGGAAGCGTAGCACCCCATGAGCAAGCAGAACTCCTACTGGGATTTAAGCTACTTGTCAAGAAATAGCCTGGAAAATGTCAGGGAAGGAGAACAGGTTATGGTTCCATGAGAGTCAGTATGATATTTTCAACAGAGTCACAAAAGTTATTTGGTAAAAATTAACATTTTTTTAAAATATCAGAATTGGCCTAAACACACAGCTACACCCAGCCTTCTTCATATTGCCATGGAGTCTGACTAGAGCTGGTTTGGGTGGCAGTACCCAGGTGAGGGGCCAGCCTCCAGGACAGTGACCTGGAGCCCAGGTGACCATGTCCTGGAGACTGGACCCTGGCTTCACCTGGTATCTAACACAGCTGGGGACAGTGTGGCCAGGCTAAGCCAGAAGCAGCACCCAGAGTACGCTGGACAGAACTACTCTACTCTTCCACCTGGAAGCAGTCTGGGGATGCCAGGGGCAGCATGTGCCCACAGCTAAGCTGGTGACAACTCCCTTCCCAGAGTGGGATGCCTGGTCAGGGGACAGAAAGGCTAAGACTGTGGACACACATACCAGGGTCTTGCAGGCATGCTGAGGACAGCCTGTCCTCCCCAGCTCCCACCCTGCCCGTGAACCCGGCCCCAAGTCTCCCTTCTACTGTAGCCACCCTCTTCCTAACAAGTGATTGGGTGTGCTCAGAGCCTACTCCTGGGTGGGGGCTACACAGAAAACCTACGGCCCAGCCCCAGCATCTGGGCCACTCAAGCGGGCAGTGAGTGAGTTTCAAAGGCTGTGTGTCATCAGACTGTATTGTGCTAGCGGGACCAGCACTACAGACACAACGCCACCTACAAGCTGGTGGCCCAAGGCTGGGCTGGGCGGCACCACCTGGTTAGGAGACCAGAGAAACTAGGGTCAACCCACACAGGGTGTTCAGAGCCCGGTGGCCTCATTCACCACTGAGAGCAGCAGCACCTGTGTGGGACTGCAGGACCGCGGAGGGAGGGACAGTAGGGGCTGAATGTCAATGTCCTGGGTCAACAGTGGAGACACTCCCAGCAGAAGACTGGCAAATCATCCCAAAGAGTTCTCCATGGACCGAGAGCCCGCCATGCAATGGGCAGCGGGGCCCTGAGCGTGAATGGCTGGCTTCCCAGTCTTATGACTCAGTCCAAATGCTTGCTTGACTGATGGACGCTACAACTCTGACTGCAGCCTCCATGCTACTGGGCCTCAGCTGCAGAAGGGGAACCTGGTCACTCCCTGATCGGGTTGTCTCTGAAGCTTAGCTGCAATGTGCGAGAGGGTCAGGCAGCCTGGAGATCCCACTACCTTGCTTCCCAGTGCTGACACCGTGGGCTCAATAGAGACCTTATCTCATTACCTTCCCCAAATTCCTCCTGTTTCTCAGCCACTCTGCCCTGCAAGCCGCTCGCTCTGGACACACACTCCTCACGGTGATGCAGACGAAGGGTACTGTCTTCTCCATGGTTCTGCATGCTGGGCTCCTGTTAATGCAACCTGGCACTGCACTGTGTGCAGAGAGTAACATTATTTCCAAGCACGGGCTGACCCCTCACACCCCATCCATTCTCCTCCCTCTGCTGTGGGACCAGTCTCCTTCTTGTGCCCTGGGTGCTTAGGTCCTACGTGCTGGGCTCTGGGTGGAGGTCTCACGAAGAAGCTTCTTAGTCCCCTCTGTCCTTTCAGAATGTGGACGTTGGCACACCCTGGCTCCTGTTTGGGGTGGCTCATGCACCATCCCAGGCAGTGAGGCAGAGCCAGGCCAAAGTGGACACCTGCCATGGTCCTGAACCTCACCTCAGTGACCCCTCCATCCAGAGCAAAAGCCCAGACAGCAGGTCTGGAATCCCACCTGGTCACTCACTGGCAACTTATCTAACTTCCTCTTGCCTCCGTTTCTCCTTCTGAGCACAGAGGTCGAGGAAGTTAGTGTGTGGCGGAGCTGCGAGGACCAGTCAGTGTGGAGACTGGGCGCTGTGCTGCCCCTGGCCCATCGTCCTCTCGGTGATCGCCTCACCCCGGTCTTTCCGGGGTCAGCGGCCAGGCTTCCTTTCTGTGTTCACAAACCCCGGGCAAAGGCACATTCTAGAACACGGAAGAGGGGCCCTGAACGGCAGACGGGGACTCCAGCCAGGCCCATCGGACAGGGAGGGCGAAGACACAGGGACCCTCCCGTCCTTGGGGACCCCCGGGGAACCCCATTCTCCATCCTTCCCCACCCCTGGCCTGGCGTGGGCCATGCCTGCGGCTGCCCGCCATGACCACGCGGGTCCCCCGCAACCCGGCGCTTGAGAAGAGCCGGGCGCCCGCGCCGCGAGTCCCGGCCCCGCCCCCAGGCCACGCCCCCCGTGCTCCGGCCACGCCCCCACGAGGTCACGCCCCGTGTTACGCATCCTGGCCGTGCCCCGAGGCCACGCCCCGTGCTCTGGGCACGCCCCCCGAGGCCACGCCCCGCGTCGCGCAACCTGGCCACGCCCCTCGAGGTCACGCCCCCGCTCCGCGCAACCTGGCCACGCCCCCCGATGCCACGCCCCCCGCGCCGCGTATGGTTCGTGCGCGACCTGCTGGGCGTGGCGTGCGCGGTGAGCACGTGGGTGCTGGTGCTAGGTGCCGCGCGGATCCTGCTGCAGGAGCTGCTGCTGCCGTCTGCCGACGTGGCCTATTGCGTGGCCAACGGCGCCTTCTTCCACCTGCTGGCCACTCTGGGGCTGGTGTCGCACGTGCGGACCATGCTGACCGACCCCGGGTCGGTGGTCCCGGGGGACCCGCCCCTGCCCGACGCCTTGTCCATTTGTCCATGCTGCAGCTGCGTCCGTCCGGAGAGCACGCACCACTGCCGCGTGTGCAGGCGCTGCATCCGCAAGATGGACCACCACTGCCCGTGGGTCAACAACTGCGTGGACGAGGACAACCAGAAGTCCTTCGTGCTCTTCACGATGTACATCACGCTGGCATCGCTGCACCTGCTGCTGCTCCTGGGCCTCGTCGTCCTGCGCAGCCACGAGCGCGGAGAGTGGACCTGGCACACACCGTGTCGCCGAGCGGCCCCATCATCTTCCTCTTCCTAGTGGCCTTGAACGGCCTCCTCTTCGCCTCCCTGATGTTCGGGACACAAATGTTCGCCATCTGCGTGGGAAGGACCAGAATGGAGCAGCTGAGAGCCAAGAAGAGGCCGTGGGGCAAAGGGTCCAAGTGGGCCAATTTCAAGGTCATCTTCGGCCACCGTGTTTCCCTGGACTGGCTCAGCCCCTTTGCCTCCCCAGAGCCGCGGAGGGCTGTTGGGCACGACGATGTGGTCTGAGGGCTGTCCCTGAAATAGGAGCCACAGGCCCACACACACACACAGGGTACCATCTGCTAAGTCTCAGGCTTTGGGGCAAGTGCACCAGCGAAAACAAGCCAGCCTCCCGCATGTGGTACAGACAAGCACCGCCGGGAATGCAAACCCCTCTGCACTTTTCTGAGCAGAAAGCCAGGCTTGTGACAGCCAGATTCAGAGAAAGTACACAGAGGCTGTGTCTGCCCCTTCTGGGTTGGTGTCCTGTCACGTGGAGAGATTAAAGCAGAGGAGTACACATAAAGTGTCATGACTGTTGCCAACCCTTATTAAATGTGCCAGCTGTGCACACTGAAGAACTCCTTTGTCAGTTTCTGATCCTCTGCTGTGAGTTGCACAGGTTGATTTCGAGCCATTGTTGCATTCCTTGGAACTCCAAGTCCATTGTGATGTGTTGTTTCAGGTTTTCTGTTGGATTTGGTTAGACCGTGTTTTATTTAGAATTTTCGCTGTTTTGGGTTGTCAATAAATTGGCCTGTAAATTTATATTCTTTTATTAGCCTTACCCACTTATGTTTTCCTGCAAGTCACAGCCATTGGAAGTGAGTGGACAGCTGTCGGTGTCTGGTTTCTGAACAGGCTGGACAAGACTGAGGTAGATGCTCCTGGGAAGGAGGATGGATTTTGCCAAAATAGCTTTCTACTTTGAGATGGTTGGAAGTCCACATGCAGTTGGGCCGTCACCTAGTTTCTCCATGGCAGCACCTTGCAGGACTGTGGGCGCAATCCCCTGACCCATGCAGACATCACCACTGTGCATGCATGTAGCTCTGTGTGCATTTGTGTGTCTGCCACCCCAGCCAACACAGACCCTTCCATGGCAAGGACCCCTGTGCTGTCCTTCTGTAGGCAGAAGCTACTCCTCCCCTCCCTCATTCAGCATCACCTGACCTGTTCTCCATCATTTCAGGAACACTGTGTGAGTGGAATCAGACAGCATGCATCTGTTGAGGTTCCTTTTCACTCGGTATAACACCCTGCGACCCATCTCAGGCATGAACGATCAGGGAAAAGGAGGCATTTCTGGGGTAAATACTGCTAGATACAGCGTTCTAGGATTTTGTTGAGGGTTTTGCATTCATGGGAGGTACTGATTACTGGATTGTTGAACCCAAGTCTGCGTCCTGGTGAAGTTGATTGAAGACATGGACAGGAGTTAAGAGTAAAGGCAAGCACAGAGTTTATTGAAAGGACAGCAAAAGCTTCCACATGGACAGAGGACTTAGGGAAAGCTAAGCCGTGGCATAGCTGAAGTCTAGGAGATGATATGAGGCGCTACCTGGCTTAGGGCCAACTCTCCTACTTTGAAACAGTATTTACAGTTGGCACCAAGTCAGCTTCTCACTGAACTAACTGGGCCACCTGTCCATCCCCTCTTTATTGATCAGATCATTCCAAGAAGACCCAGTCAGCTCGTTCTGGCCTTGGGGCCCACCACCCACACTGTGCAGCTGCATTCAGTTATTTAGTGAGGGATTTGTTATTTCTCTGAGAAGTCTTGTTTCCTATGCCCTCTTTCATGTCTGCTTCTAACGTGCCTCTTTCACCCAAAACGGAGTCACCTCTGTCACTGCTCCCCTTACACTATTAGTAAGTAATTTAATTTTTCATCTGGTTTCGGTATCAAGGTAATGCTGGCTTCCTTAGATGAGTTAGGGGAAAGGAACTCACATTGTCACAACTGAAGTCATTTCTTCCTCAAGTACTTGGCAGAGCTTGCCACTGAGGCCTGGAGATTTCTTTTTCAGGATTTCTAACCACAAATTCAACTTCTTTGACAGTCAGGGAACTCTTGCGATTCTTTCTGTCACCATGAGTGAGCAGTGCTGAACGTTTGCCCATTTGGCCCAGCAGTGGCAATTAGTGTGCAGTGTTTACGGTCCTCGTCACCCTGTGTCTGTGGGGTCTGCAGTGACAGCCTTTTCTACTCCTTATGTTTGTCATTTGTGTCTTCTCTCTTGTTCCCTGGTCAGTCTTGACGGAACTTTGTTAATTTTCTGTCTTTTCAAAGACACACGTATGAGTTCCGTTCATTTTTCACCATTATTCTGTTTGACCCCATTGATTCTACTCTTTCTCCCCTGACTTGGAGCCTGTCTTGTTCTTAGGAAGGCTGGGCCTTAACTTGGAGGCTTAGGTTCCTGATGTCTTCCGAAATGAGAGTATACGATAAGTGTCCTCAGCGCTTCCTTGGTCACACTCTACAAGTTTTTGATATGTTGTATTATAAGTTTTATTCAGTATAAAGTCTTTTTACTTTAAAACACCTCTTTGGCCATAGATTATTCAGATGTCCCTTGTTTAATACCCCAGTAATTAAAGATTACCCTTCTCTCTGTCTCTCTCAGGGCTTCTGGGTTAGGTTCCCAGTGAGTCAGTTCTCTCACGTGTGTTGTACTGTGCTGTGAGACCATATGCGGTCTCTCCTGGTGAGGGTTCCACAGCTCTTCAAAATAATGCTGCCGACTGGTTGGTTGGTGATGGTGGCCAGTTATTTTCTGTCCTCGCTGGCTTCCTACCAGTTCCACCAAGAACCAGAAGAACCAGGAGACCTGAAGCCTCCAATGACACACGGGACTTGTCTGTTTCTCGTTTCACTTGTCAGTTTTGCTTCAGGTGTTTTTAACCTCAGCCTTTACATGCATGTACATTTAGGATTGTTACAGCTTCTGTGAGTTGAACGTCTGTCATTACACGATGTCCTTCTGTGTCACTCACAGTTGTCTTTGCTCTGAGCACTGCTTCATCTGACATCACAAAGTCACGCCAGCATTTAGTGCTTCTGTTGTGTGTATTTCTCTGCCAAGGAAGGTCTGGGCTAGAAGAGGCTGGGCTGGGCACCTCTGAAAACTTGCTGTTGCAGATCGCGTGACCCCGCGAGAAACAGGATGTCCCTCTGATAAATATCTACACCCAGTTCCGACCTAAAATGTGATTTAAAAATAAGTGGGTGGCACACATGTGCCTGCCATCAGAGACCATCTGAGCCTGTGTATTATCTCATTCACACCAGTCCTGTAGGCAGCAGTATGTCTACACCCATTTTATAGATGGGGACTGAGAAGAAACAAGTCAATCAAATCCTCCAGATGGCACAGCAGTAACGGGGAAGCCAGAGGCTACAAGCTCAGACAGCCCGGCCCCAGAGTCTGTCACTTACACCTACACTGCCCCACTCCACCAAGAGGAAGCCTGAGTGGCTTCCTGCGGTGAGCTTGAGGAAATGCCAGCACAGGACAGAGCCCTCTTCTGAGGTGGACCACCAGCTGTGCCCATTCATCCAGCCACAGTGCAGGGAGCACCTGGCCAAAGGAAGCCCTCCCAGCTCTGCAGGGCTCTGGCCCAGCGCCTGTTTTTAGAGATGAACTGTAAACCATCTTCAGGGAGATTAAAGATAAAGCTGCATTAACTCCACACAGCAAAGTGAGGGTGCAGTGAGATGGGAAGGATGGTCCTCCTGTTGACCCTGGGGCTCCAGAGCCCCACACCCCGCCTCACATCCGGGAGAGTTGTAGGAAGCCTGGGCTGCCGCAGGGGCCAGGCTTGGGAAGTGATGGCAGACAAGTAGGCCTGTCAGCAAGGAGGGGGATTACTAGCTCTGCCATGGGGGTTCTGGGGCAAAAGTGGAAAGGAGGGTGTCTGTGGGGGACTCCAGTTTTAAGAATGAAGCCTCAGTCAGCTCAGGAGCAGCACAGGCTAGACTCAGAAAGTGTGAGCCAGAGAGGAGGCTTGGCAACACAATGTGACAGGGACACTCCTCTGGCGAAGGACCCCTGAGCAGCTGTGGACAGTAGGTGGCAGGGACTGGCTGGAGCAGTCCAGGCCCGCAGCTGCCCCCCACCCCAAGCCCACAGCAGAGCAAAGACAAGACACCCACCGGCCACAGCTGCACAGCAGGATCCTGGCCTCCTGCTTTCCAGAGTGGGGTGGCCTTTGGAAGTCTCTCTCGGAGACAAGGAAAGTGTCCTGTCACTCTCCAGTCTGACCCTCAGATTTGAAAAAGGTTTATGAACCTGAGAGAAGTCCCGCAGCCCTGCGACCTGCCTCACCCCGGGTGCTAATGGAGTATCCTGCAACCCCCAGCAGAAATCCCAGCCCAGGATGATGGGCCCCTCACCCTGGTGCCCACAGCTCGTGAGCTGCATTTCAATAGCAGCATTAATGTCTACCTTGACAGTCCCAGAAGTCAGGAGGACAGCTGGGTTTGGGAGCCAAGGGCTCAGGCTAGGGGGTTCTGGGGGAAAGCAGGTCCTGTCCCCAGCTCCCGCCCCGCCCCAAGTGACGAATCCCAGGCCCAAGGACATGCCAGTGTGCAGCTGGGCTGAGCCTGATGCGGCCCCTGTGGTGGGTCTGGAGCTATCTGAGCACAGAGGAAATTTGAACACACACAAAGGGCAGACCCGGGGCCCCAGATGCCTGAGCCTCCAATGGAGCTGGGTTAGGTGGGCAGAAGGGCAGGGCATGGGTGGGGAGGCCTTGACTTGGGGGACAAGGACAGGAAAGAGGGACAGGGAGGGTCAAGAAAGGTGATGGGGCTTGACTTATGTCACAGTGGGTTGCCTGATTCTCCCATCCAGATACACAAAAATGCCGAGTGGATTTTAACAGCTGAGAAAGCACAAGGGGCATGTGCTTGAGGTCCACATAAGTCACAGGCCACGGGATGGGGGATGGACATTTGAAGAACATCCTCCCTGCAGAAAGAGCTAAAACACCACTGGCTGGTATGGGAGGGCGAGGCAGCCAGCCAGCTGCCAGGGCTGGTGTGCGGTGCATGTGGGTGGAATGGAGTGGACAAGCTTTGTCTGAATCCTGCATGCTGCGGACATGGAGTTTGCTCCCCTTGCCACAGGAAGACCCTGGTCAGAAGTTCAAATAGGAATATCTCTAGGCCTAGCAGAAACCCCATGTCTTGGAAGGGAAAAGTTCCACACACCAGGGCAGAAGAAGTTGCCTGGCACAGA